ACAGGAAATATCAATCAAATAAGGTGACAGTGAGGCAGAGCTGGAGGAGAGAGTAGAGTGCTGCCCTTTAGGAGAGAGCAAGAGACAGGTATATGAGGTAGAGGTCATAAGCTTTCCTGAAGAGATGGGTTTTAAGGCACTTCTTAAAAGATTGAAGACTGGGGGAGAGTCTGATGGCGGTAGGCAGGCTATTCCATAGGAAGAGAGCCGCCCATGAGAACGTTAGTTGGTCGTAAGGGTGCGAGTAGCGGACAGAAGACGGTCACGGGCAGAGCAGAGAGATCGAGAAGGGGTATAAGGGACATACCTATGGATCTGTGAGAAGAGATATAAGAGGGGCTAGAATTGCTCAGTGCTTTATAGGTATGGGTTAGCACTTTGAATTGACTCCTATAGCATACAGGAAGCCAATGTAAGGACTGGCAGAGGGGTGAGGTGTGAGAGAACCGACTAGAGAGGAAAATCAGTCTGGCTGCGGCATTCATTACAGACTGTAGCGGGGCAATTAGGCTTTTGGGAAGACCAATCAGGAGAGGGTTACAATAATCCATGCTGGAAATTACTAGAGCATGGACATTAAAATCAGTTGTACTCCCAGAACTATGTGTCGTCTAGTTACTGGGAGGGGAAAGTACTAATTACTGCTAAGCACCTTATTCCAGCTCATGGAGGATCCAGCGGAGAAAGTTCTTGTAAGGCCTTGTAAGGACTAGGGGCTCCCAGGACTGTGTGTCATCCAGTTCCTGGGCAGGAATAGAGCTAGTCCCCTATCCTACTCCAGGACAGAGAGGCTCCAAGAAGACCCCAGTCAAGCCACGGCGACTGGGGCAGAAGCACTGAGGTTTTCTCCGGTTCCAGCTAGGAAGTGGTCTCTGATTTTGAGAGTTGAGTGGACACCTGGATGTTCGGGTTCGCCGGGTTCGTTCGAACTTTGGAAAAAAGTTTGAGTTCAGCACTCGAACTTGACCGCGAACCCCATTGAAGTCAATGGGGACCCGAACTTTTGGGCACTAAAATGGCTCTAAAAAAGTCCTGGAAAGGGCTAGAGTGATGCAAAAGGAAGTTAAATGGGGGGAAGAGTGGGACAAGTGACTCCCCCCCCCCCACCGGGCCCCCAACCCTGCGCTGCTGGTGGGGGCCGTACATAACAATGAGTGGGGGGGACCTACTGTCCTCCCGCCCCAGACCCCACCCCTGAGTGGTGGGTGGGAGCCCTAAATAAGAATGAAGGGGGGCCTACTGTCCACCCCCCGGCCCCCACCCCTGCGCGGCGGGTGGGGCCCTACATAACAATTTAGGGCCCCCACCCACCGCTCAGGGGTAGGGGCCGGGGGGGGGGGAGGACAATAGGTCCCCCCCTCATTCTTATTTAGGGTCCCCACCCACCGCTCAGGGGTGGGGGCCGGGGGGGAAAGGACAGTAGGTCACCCCCCCTTTTTTTTTTTAGGGCCCCCACCCACCATGCAGGGGTAGAGGCCAGGGGGGAGGACAATAGGTGTTCCCCCCCCCATTTTACTTTAGGGCCCCCACCCGCCGTTCAGGGGTGGGGGCCAATAGGTTTTTATTTTTTTAAATTTGTTTTACAGTGAGCAGCCACTGTTTACTAGACATGTTTAATAAGAGCTCATGTGACTCATATTGAGGCTGGGTCACATGCTGCACTGGCCAATAACAGCCATGCCATTAGTAGGCATGGCTGTGATGGCTTCTAAGGCACACAAGTCAAACGTTTGTTGATTGGCTGCCCTGCAGCTTTTCAAAACGCGCCATTAAATCACTGAACACCAAACTCAACTCTAGTCTCTGACGGAGGTATCCCGCCGGGGTACAGGGACCTCCGCTACATGTACCTTCCTCCTTCTCCTGGTGGCTGGGTGCGGAATCCGGCTCAGCAGCAGCACCATTGCAGAGGATTTGGCTGTCCCCCCGGTCTTAGTGCTGTCTCCCTCCGTCTTTAAAAAAAAAAAAAAAAAAAAGTGTGGTAGGACCAAGCCCCCACTGAACCCCATTTAGTTTTAACCCCTGCCGGACCACAGGAGTACTTTAACCCATGCCGGACCACCAGGGTGTTTTATCCTATCACGGACCACCAGGCAATTCTGGACCACCAGGGTATGTTGTTAGCCCCAGCTGGACCATAACCAAAAAGGTTAGAAGGAGGGAGGCCAAAGTGCCCTTACATACACAACAACCACCCCCATATTACAAACCGCACAGTCCCCAACACACACACATTACGCACAGCCTATACCCCCACCACATTACACAAAGCCAAAAAAAACTCCACACATTACACACAGCGCCCAACCATTCACACATGTTGCACACAGCCAACAAGCCCGCATACCTTACAAACAGCCAGCACACACCACACAGCCTTCAAACCTGCTTACCTTACAAACAGCCAGCACACACCCCACACACATTACACACAGGCAACAAACCTGCATACCTTACACACAGCCAGCACACACATTACACACAGCCTACAAACCTGCATACCTTATACACAGCCAGCACACACATTACACACATTACACACAGCCTGCTTACCTTACAAACAGCCAGCACACACCCCACACACATTACACACAGGCAACAAACCTGCTTACCTTACACACAGCCAGCACACACCCCACACACATTACACACAACCTACAAAGCTGCTTACCTTATACACAGCCAGCACACACTACACACATTACACACAGCCTACAAACATGCTTACCTTACACACAACCAGCATACCCCGCCAACATTACACACATCCTACAAAGCAGGTTACCTCTGCCAGGACACACCACACACATTACACTCAGCCTACAAACCAGGTTACCTTACAAACAGCTAGCACACACCACACACATTACACTCAGCCTACAAACCAGGTTACCTTACACACAGCTAGCACACACCACACACAGCCTACAAACCTGGTTACCTTACACAGTGCCAGCACAAACCACACACATTACACTCAGCCTACAAACCAGGTTACCTTACAAACAGCTAGCACACACCACACACAGCCTACAAACCTGGTTACCTTACACAGTGCCAGCACAAACCACACACATTACACACACCCTACAAACCAGGTTACCTTACACACAGCCAGCACACACCCTACACACCCTACAAACCTGCTTACCTTACACACAGCTAGCACACACCACACACACACACACACACGTTACACACAGGCAACAAACACACGTTATACACAGCCAACATACAACTAAAAACAGCCAGCGTGCACGCACACACACAAAACACACAGCCAGTACACTATGACTGAGTACAGGGGTAGAAACGATCTAATTAAAATAAATTTGTGGGTCAGGACAAGTAGCTTGTCATAAGTGACAATTACATTGGGCTACCACCTTAGTTCCTTGGACAAGTAAATGTTTTAAAAATTTCAACACACCTGTGTTTATAACATTACAGTGTTCCTGGACACTTCAAAGTTAAAATTTAAATAAAAACCATATTAAAACATCCATTGCTGCGACGGTCTCTTTCTCTTTCATAGAGAAACATTATCCTAATTATCCCAATCCTTTTCTATGATACAGTTTAGCTGCATTCGATGCTATTGTGCTGGGAGTGTGGACGGTGAAAGTAAAGGAGGAAGTGCTGTCAGATTGGAGCCGATTAGAGGCATCTTTAAGGCAAAATGTAAAAAAGGCTGTTTGTCTAAACTGATATTATATTATTTTACCAGAGTAAAGGGACTGCATCTAGGCACCAAAACTACTATGTTAACATGTAGTGGTTTTGGTGCTTGGAGTGTCCCTTTACCTGTTTAAATCATTGCGTGACATGTATGAAGATGTAAATGAACCAGGATTAATCGATGTTAAAGGATCGCTATAGGGTCAGGAACACAAACATGTATTCCTGACCCTATAGTGTTAAAACCACCATCTAGCCCCCCTGGGCCCCTCATGCCTCCCTAAATATAGCAAAGTCTTACTTGTATTTAAGCCTGAAGCTGTAGCTCTGCATGCGGTTTGCCTCAGTATAGCAAGCAGTCTGCTGACATCATCAGAAGTGGTGGCCTGATCCAATCACAATGCTTCTCCATAGGATTGGTTGAGACTGACAAAGAGGCAGATCAGAGGCAGAGCCAGCATGATTCAAACACAGTCCTGGCCAATCAGCATCTCCTCATAGAGATACATTGAATCAATGAATCTCTATGAGGAAAGTTCAGTGTCTGCATGCAGAGGGAGGATATACTGAATGTTTGGATGCATTTTAGGCAGCCATGACCCAGGAAGGATCTCTAACAGCCATCTGAGGAGTGGCCAGTAAAGTTATCACTAGGCTGTAATGTAAACACTACATTTTCTCTGAAAAGACAGTGTTTACAGCAAAAAGCCTGAAGGTAATGATTCTACTCACCAGAACAAATTCAACAAGCTGTAGTTGTTCTGGTGACTATAGTGTCCCTTTAAAGGACCACTATAGGAACCCAGACCACTTCAGCTTAATGATGTGGTCTGGGTGCCTGGTCCAGCTAGCTTTAACCCTTTTTTTTATAAATATAGCAGTTTCAGAGAAACTGCTACGTTTATAAATGGGTTAATCCAGCCTCTAGTGGCTGTCTCATTGACAGCCGCTAGAGGGCTTCCGCGCTTCTCACTGTGATTTTCCCAGTGAGAAGACGCCAGCGTCTATAGGAAAGCATTGTGAATGCTTTCCTATGGACTGGCTGAATGCATGCGCATTCAGCCGAAGAGGAGGAGGAGAGCTCCCCACCCGGCGCTGGAGAAAGAGGTAAGTTTAACCCCTTCCTCACCCTAGAGCCTGGCGGTAGGGGGACCCTGAGGGTGGGGGCACCCTCAGGGCACTATAGTGCCAGGAAAACAAGTATGTTTTCCTGGCACTATAGTGGTCCTTTAAAATAAGGGATGAAAGCAGAGTCCAGAGGGACTGAAAACGCTGAATATTTTATCAGTTGTTACAAACATTGATAAATTACCAAATGGCACCTACCACATTTTATAGTTACTAACCTCAACGACACAACCCTCGGACAGAACAACTATGATATCAGCATCCGCAATGGTGCTGAGTCTATGTGCAATCACCAGTACAGTGCGGCCTGAGGAGGCCCGATCCAGCGCCAACTGCACGGCGTGTTCAGACTCCGAGTCGAGAGCGCTCGTAGCCTCGTCTAATATAAGGATCCTTGGGTTCTTTAAAAGAGCGCGTGCAATAGCTACACGTTGCTTCTGTCCCCCTGAAAGTGTCACTCCGCGCTCCCCTAAACCAAAAAAAACACATTATATTAATGAACAAAAACTGCCAATGCTTAGGAAACAGTGTTTTCAAATAAAGACAAATCATTGGCAAATGTAAAATAGGAAAAGAGAAAAAATGGATCACATTAGGGGACAGAAACAAGACGAGAGACGATAAGTGAGCATTTCCTACCCAGCGTCGTCTTGTACCCATTAGGAAAGCTGCAGATAAAGCCGTCTGCATTTGCCTGTTTAGCGGCTTCATAGACTTCTTCATCCGTAGCGTCTGGCCGCCCAAATCGAATGTTCTCCATGATGCTCGTCCCAAACAGAACGGGCTCCTGAAAAACACGGTGCACAGATTGCACAAGATTTTTCCACCAAGTGCCCTATTACCATTATGCTATTGGTCCCCCCTAAAAATGCTAAGAAGTTTTACTCACCTTAAAGGACCACTCTAGGCACCCAGACCACTTCAGCTTAATGAAGTGGTCTGGGTTCCAGGTCCAGCTAGGGTTAACCCATTTTTTTTTATACACATAGCAGTTTCAGAGAAACTGCTATGTTTATGAATGGGTTAAGCCTTCCCCCAAAGCCTCTAGCGGCTGTCTCATTGACAGCCGCTAGAGGCGCTTGCGTGCTTCTCACTGTGAAAATCACAGTGAGAGCACGCAACCGTCCATACGAAAGCATTGATAATGCTTTCCCATGCGACCGGCTGAATGCACGCGCAGCTCTTGCCGCGTGTGCGCATTCAGCCGACGGGGAGGAACGGAGGAGGATCGGAAGAGGAGAGCTCCCCGCCCAGCGCTGGAAAAAGGTAAGTTTTACCCCTTTTCCCCTTTCCAGAGCCAGGCGGGAGGGGGACCCTGAGGGTGGGGGCACCCTCAGGGCACTATAGTGCCAGGAAAACGAGTATGTTTTCCTGGCACTATAGTGGTCCTTTAATCCAGCGCCGGGTGAGGTCTAATCAAAGCTGTCTCATAGACAAGCCTTTGGAGGATTTGAGCGGCACAAAACACATGCAGGTGATCGGAGTTCGCAATGGGAGGGGGAAACGAAGGAAAGAAGATTTTTAAATAACAAAGTGCGAGTGGAATTGGGAGGTGGGAGGGATTCCCTCTGTGTACGAGGGAGGGAGGGGAGGCTCAGCCTGCAAGAGAGAGGCAGTTCTGTCTGTCCCCAGCATGCAGTGCATGCTGACGGTAATGTCATTTATGCACAGAATTGATATTAGGCAACTTGGCACACAACTAAAAATATCTCTGGAGTACAGTGTTTCAGGCTGACTAATACCACCATGACCACTTCAAACAGCAGAAGTAACCCTTTAACTATGCACATAGAGCAGTAATAAGAGATAACATGATAAAGAATAAAGGGGATAATGGAGTGAAAGTCGGAAATGACAACTCAGAGTTTGTTGTTGTAAAGACACTGGAAACCCCCAGTGACAATAGCTCACCCCGCGTTTATTACAAAGAATATAAACCTACGGCCCCTATCCTCTACCTGGTTAATGAACCCAATGATTTCTCCTCGCAGCCACGATGGGTCCAGACTGCGAATGTCCACTCCATCCAGGTGAACCGCTCCCTGGTTCGGGTCGTAAAACCTCTCCAGGAGTGCAGCCACCGTGGACTTTCCTGGAAATGATTAAAAGAGACAATTTATATGTTGAGTTCTAGCCTAAATAAGGTATAATTTACACACACAGACGGAATGCTAGGGAGCCTAAAACAAACTTCTTTTGATTTAAAATGGAAACAGAAAAAAATTGAACATTGTGTGTAATCTAAATACAAAAAAACAAGTCCTGCGCTCCAACTCCCACTACTCCTGGGCGGCAGCAACAACCATAGTACACCCAATACATAAAGGAAAAACAAAAATTACAAAAAATGACCTGCCCTCTTTCCCAAATCCCTATGTATATTTAAACAAATGGAGGTTATTTAGTTACTCCAATGGCCATTAGAGGGAATGCATATTATATAAGGTATATATATTATATATGTATATAAAAAATACCCCTCTCTGTCTCATTGGAGATATCTTTGCCAGAAGCTCAGGGAAGCAAGGTGAAGGGTCAGAGTAGGACCTGTCTAGGGGGGTCTGCCTTGACGTTGGCAGGTGGGAATTCCTTCCAATGGCCATTGGAGCAACTAAATGACCTCCATTTGTTTAAATATACACAGGGATTAAGGAGAGAGCGCAGGTAACCTTTTTCTTTGGTTTTTATTGTGTGTAATATAGTATTAAGCTTTATACCACCACAGGCATTGAAGTGTTTTTGTAAAAACAAAGTTTATAAAATACATTTATAGGACAATCATAGAAGACAGTCCTGAGTCTAGAGACTGTATGTAGAGAGGATTTGGAGGAAATACACAAAGTGTCCACTAGATGTCTCCCCACACATAATGTGAAATCACAGAATGCTATGAAAGTTATTGATTCCGGAGTACATTCACACAACACGGACCCTAATATGCAGAAACAGGTTAATTCATCTATGGCCTATGTCCGTCATCAATACACCCTCATGTCCTCCATATATACCCATCTACATACCTCATGTCCTCCATATATACCCATCTACATACCCCATGTCCTCCATATATACCCATCTACATACCCCAT